GAGGATGTACACTGGCACAGATAGGAACTGGAAACACAGGGAATCCAGGACAGATGATCCCTTCAGGACTAGTGGTGAGAGTGGAGATATCAGGAGGGTGGGGTGGAAAGGGGGAACCAATTAGAAGGATCTACATATAAGCTTCTCCCTGGGGGATGGACAACAAAAAAGTGGGTGAAGGGAGATGTGATACAGTATAAGACATGACAAAATAATAATTTATAAATTATCAAGGGTTCATGAGGGAGAGGGGAGCGGGGAGGGAGGGGGAAAAATGAAGAGCTGATGCCAATGGCTTAAGTGAAGAGCAAATGTTTTGAGAACGTTGAGGGTAACGAATGTACAGATGTGCTTTATACCATTGATGTATGTATGGATTGTGATAAGAGTTGTATAAGCCGCCATTAAAATGATTGGAAAAAAAAAGAAATGCATGCAGTTATGAGCTGAACCCCTAGTAGTCCTTCTTTTGAATCTACTTTATAAAGAACCTATCCACATTTAAACCGGATACATACTAAATAGAAGGTTTACGTTATAATAAATAATCATTGTCATTTTATAGCCAGTTATTTTAAGACCTTCACAATCTGGCCCTAGACTCTAACACCAACACTGTTTCAATTTACTTAGGGCTTACTACAGGCTAACTATTGAACTTGAAGCTTTATGTGCACCATCATAAATTTATTTTATCGTGATAATAACCTTACTCTTTTTTATGTGAATTATTCTTGTTTTAAAGAATAAACACTGAGGTATAAAGAGGTTATACACTTATTCTAAGGTCATAAAATTACCATGTGGCAAAATTTAAAATTAAAAGTCTAAATTTGTTTTTAATCATTTTATTGAGGGCTCTTCTAACTCTGATAACATTCCACAATTGTATCAAGCACATTTATACATATGTTGCCATCCTAATTTTCTAAACACTTTTTATTTGAGCCCTTGGTATTAGCAATTTTTTCCCTCCTCCCCTCCCACCCTCATGACCCCTTGATAAATTATAAATTATTACTGCTTTCATAGCTTACAATGATAAAGTCTAAATTTTAAACCTAGACTTGTAAGATGCCATAGCCAATGTTTATAACCAATACATTTCTCTGTACTTGTAGCCTCAGTCTTGAACTTGCCTGAAGACCCTTGCCCTTTGCCCTTCTCTTATACTTGCCTATGAGTATCCCTCATCCTCCTAAATGCAATGCAAAATCCATTGCTTCATAAAAGTTTCTCCTCCACCAACATAGGGATTTCTTTTTCCTCCAAATTGATTTCTGGTATAAACCATTCATTTAGGTTTAACGTACTGCCAAGTGATAGAATATCTTATAAATAATTTTCTGTCATATAAATGCTGTATTCTCAAATGTAGATTCTGATTTCCTTAAAAACAGATAAACTTTTACACTCCCAAAAAGCTTACCTACCTTTGACATAAGTACTCAATAAATATTGATAGAGAGATAGAATTTTGCACTTTCATAGCTTGTTTCTAAGAAGCGAGGCACAACAAAATGAGTAGTGGCATTTAAGAAAAAACAAATATTAAATAAAGAAAAACACATTTCAGACACAAGTACCTTGGTAACAGTGACAGGAAGGAAAGAGAGAAGGCATATGGTAGTTTCATGACTGAGGCACAGAGGACAATGAGTGCTAATCAGAGGCTCTTTGGTCTCCCCATTCCATCTTGCCCTAAATTTGACAGGCTGTGAATGGACAATGTAAGGAAAAAGAACTCTGATGGTTTCTAAGAGATGAAATGACTAGCTGAAAGTCTCTTTGACCACACAATAATGATCTTTTCCTTTTCATAGAGCTTAGAACAAGTTTTTCCAGTTGGGATTAATGAAATCTTTTAAAAGTTAGCATTTGCTTTATCTTTGCAAGATGTCACCCCAGGGAAAACTGGTTGCTCATGACAACAATCTCACATTACAAATTTAAATCTTATTCAGACTACTTCAATTTTGATAAGGCCATGTCATGATTCTGTCAGTCTATCTATCATACCCTCTTCAGAGTGAAGTAAATATTTTAATACAGCAAAATTATTTACAAACAATGAGAATATGATATTATTAATAAGTGCTAAAAAATATATTCTCCCCTTTAGGTTTCCCCAATAACACTTCTGGGAAGAGTGTGTAGTGAGGGGAGAATATACCTCTTGGAGATTTCTGGTTTTACTCCTTCCTCTCTTCTTACCGTTACTAGACATCGACACATGTTTGCGTAAGCCACAGAGAAACTGGGCTCGTCAATAGCCTTCTCAAAGACCAGGTCAATGACTCCTTTCAGCCGCTCCTCCGTGTCAACAGTGAGTCCTGACACTTGCTTCATCAGCTGGTTGAACATCTGTGGTGTCAATTTATTTAAGATACTCCGAACTTTTCTGAAAAGCTCCTAGAAGGACCACAAACAAAGATGAGCATTAGAGCAACCGTGGCAGTAAGCAGGAAGGTAATTACTTTGCTTTGTAAGCTTGATTATTCAGATTATTAATGACTGTCAAGTCACAGAAACAATTAACTACATCCATTTTAACAATTAGTTAAAAGTTCCATCACATCCATTGCACAGCTGAGAGGAAGTCTAGGACACCAGCTGGCAGGAGCATCATCGGGGACTTTCCCAAAGGCAAGCTAGCAAGGTCACAAAGCTCAATAAGTACAAATGTGCTATTTGAGCCTGGTAAGAGTATACTTTTAGAAATGTGTTCATATTTAAGGATATGTAAAAAGAGTTTAGTCACAAACAACCCTTTGTAGCACACAGCATCCCAAATCAGAAACTTGTCTAAATTAATGATGGCATAACCATAAATTCAGTTACCATAGAATACAGGGCAAGAACCCTTTTAAATGTTGTGACCCTCTCAGCAAACTAAAAGGAGAGGAGAGTTCCTCAATTAGGAGAAAGCATCTTCGAAGCCCTACTTAGAGTGAAAGGCTGAATGCTGACTGACTGGAACAAGACAAGATGTTTGCCTTCATCATTTCTACTCACAAACATACTCAAGAGAATTGACATACTGGAAGGTGGCAGAGTAGGCAGACACAATACATAGACCCTCTATTAAAAAAGATATGAAAAAGCAATGAAATAGATCTAGGTGATAATCCTGAACTATAATTTTCATAGTAAAAATAGAGAAGTAGATGAATACAATTGGGAAAAGAAGCTGAACAAAAGCAACAAGAGAGTACACATGTTACGAGTGAACTGTCAGTTGACCTGACACTGCACAGCCATTTTTAACTTTGGCAAACTATGCTTGATCTAATAAAACAGCACCCTCATAATTCGCTCCCCTCAACCATGGTAGTGCAAGTCCCTTGAGCAGTGATAGGTAGTCAGAAATGTGTCATTTCTCCCTCTGCCCCTCCCACACCATTCTCTCCTAGAGATTAAAACCACTGGCAACCCCCACTCTTACCCACCCATTAGCTGCTGGCATGCTCCTGCTCTGCCTGAGGTGGGAGTCATACCCTCACCACCAGCGCTGGGGGCACAAGAACTCGGCTCCTCAAATTAGAAAAGCTGTAAAGCAGGGAGCCTCTTGTCATCCCTGGGTTGGCAGGAGCACTTTCTCCCCCACCCCCTTATTTTTTCCTTGCTTTCTCTTTCAATTTCTCTCACTCTTTTTTAAAATTGCTTCCTATTAGGTTTTTCTTTAGTATTCTCTTTTATGACCACGCCCCCGCACCCCTGTTTTCGTGCGTTTTTCTTTCTGCATTTTTAAAATTTGATAACATCATTTTCTTGCCTTAAAGAAAAGTTAGTAAATTTTTTTATTCTCCTATTGCTTGCTTGATTTTCCATGCTTACTTTTTTATTTCCCCAACATTATTCTTTAAACAGATGGAAAAACAAATCATCAACTTTATAAGGAAATGAGAGACCCAACAGAAAAAGTATTATTAAAGAAGAACAAAGTAGGAGGCTTCAGATTTTCTGATCTAAAATCATACAGCCACAGTAGTCCAAACAGCTTAGTATGGTACAATGACAGACATATAGAATACTAGAACAGAATTGAAAACCCAGAAATAAATTGAGAATCCATCCACCTATGGGCAGCTGATCTTCAACAAATAGGCAAAGCATATTAAACCGGTAAGAGATAAGGTCTTTTAAAAAAGGTGCTGGTAAAACTGGATATTCGTTTGTAGTGAAATGAAACCAGATCCATATCTCATACCACATAAAAAAATGAACTCAAGATGGATCAAATAACTAAATGTAAAACCTTTACCTATAAAGATCACCAATGCAAAAAGATGGTCAAATTTAGGGACCCTAATATATGGCATAATAAAAAAAAACATAAAAAGAAGATATAAACTAGATGATGATTGAAACCTCCTAAAACTTAAACATACCTGAATTTAAAGATTTCATTATCATCCAAAAGAAAAAAAGATTTCATTAAAAGAACTCAAAACTGGGAAAAAACTGGCAATGAATATCAGACAAGTGACTAATCTCTAAAGTTCATGGAACTTTTCAACACCTAACAACAACAACAAAAAGACAAACAACCCAATTAAAAAACGAGCAGATGACAAAATCAGACACTTCATTAAAAAAGAAAGCTTGGCAACCAACAAACATAAGAAATGCTGGTGATCATTCACCATTAATAAAATACAAAAACAGAGGGAAGGAGGGTTGGGGAGGGGGTGAAAATGAGTTGATACCAAGGGCTCAAGTAGAAAGAAAATGTTTTGAAAATGATGATGGAA